TATAGAAAGTATCTATAAACAATAAAATTTCCTCAAAGTATTAATGAAAGCAGAACTTACTTGTGGTAAACGGGGCTTCATCTTCATCACCTCATTCTTATCAAGGAAAGTCCTATTTGCACTTGGGGTTGATCTACTGCTGCTAGGTTGGCCATTATCTTTCCGTAGCACCTATATTTTGTGGAGAAAATTTGTTTAGGTAAAAGTAAACGTTTACTGGAAATGCCAAAATTATTTTTAAAATGGGACTGTCTCATGATTGAATTTGTCAAAAATTCTCAGTAGCAGACCAAAAATTTGTTTTCTGAGTTACTTTGCTTGTACTAGTAACTAGATTCAAACAAAAAACTTCACTATTGGAAGAGCACCTTATTCGAGGATTTAACTAAGAAACAATAAAATTTTAGTGAAGCCAGCGGAGAGCAAGTACCGTATTTAGTAGGATATGTTCCTTACATTTTCACTGCTTCTGCTTTCTCTGTTGCTGCCTGCCTTCTCATTTTTATTTGCATCTCTATCATCATCATCATCGTCACTATCTGAATCTGTATTCATCTGTTCACGCCCTCTTTTGCTTCCTGCTCTGCTTTGAGTTGGGGATGAGCTTCCGCTGTTGCTGCTAGAGCTATTCCTACGAATTATACTGGGCTGGTAAGGTGTATTCACTACTCCTGAAATGAAAAAAGTGTAAGTAACAAGACCTTTGATGTGATTTAAAGGGGCCCTTTAATAAATTTACCGAGTTTGAGCTGTTCTTCATGGTGGTCAAATTTCTTCTGGTGCTCTTTCTTTTCTTTTTTCGTCATTTCTCCCCACTGCTTCTTACTGAAATATTCCTCAACAAGCCCATAGTCCGAGTCACCAGATTCAGAAAAATTAAATGTATCCTGCAACAAAAACAACATGTTTTAAAACTGTTAAATTACTTAACTTTTATATTGAGCATCTTTTGTTTCTCCCATTACCGTGTCAGTATCTTGATCACTGTCTTCCTGCGAAACATTTTGTTTGGTTTTTTTGAGTCCCACATTCTTTTCTTCAACTTTTTTCTTATTTGGCACATTAGAACTATCATGTTTTCCGTTGTTCTTTGATTTGCCCGTTAACACTTTACTGGTAGTGCTACTTGACTCATCAACCCTCGCCGAAAATGGAGTTTTAGCTTGGCCTGACTCCATGGTTTTAGATTTTTGAGGTTCCTCATTATTCTGGAAAAAAAGTTTTCTTGAAATCCACATACAACTTATTATGAATTGAGATTTGTTCTGGATGAGGGAGGACAGGGGAGGGAGCAAAGAGATGCAACTCTTGCATCAACCTAGTCTGAAAATATTATAACAAGAAAAATAAGCTTTTTCAAAGCTTTCAATCGAAAATCTCAAACTAGGCAAATTGGGTTTCGGACTAGTCAAAAAAAGAGAGGGTGATCGAGGAACTGATCATGGGAACACAATGTTTTCACTTGTGACCACATAAAAGTGCGAAATTCGTGACCTCGTAACAAGTCATAAAAATGGCGTTCATGAGAAACCACGTTTTCCTAGAGGAGGCGGGGGCGATGCCAGATATAACAAAAATATGTAATGTATGTCGCATTTTGACATCCAACGCGTCATTACAAGGTTTTATGACTTACCGATGGTGCTGTTAGGTGTAAGGATATCCATTTTATCACGACTGTCTCCCCTCCGCGGAAGAGGTGTTTTCTCTTTACTTCCTTGAGGACCTCGTCGTCGCCATACATACTGTACGTGGGGGCCCAAGACGCACGTCGTAATTTTAATGCCTCGTCTTCCTTACAGTACTCGTTAAATTCATCTTTCAATGCTTGCAACGAGTTTGGCTCTATATCAACCACCACAATGCGCCCATCCACATTCAAGGAAATTTCTACAGACATTTTCGACGACGAGCTGCAAACGACTCCTCTTTCTCTTCACAATGTGGAAACCGTTTCAATTTGAATACTTCGTGCGGAGTCCGGAAAACAAGTCGAGCGTACCAACTGTCCAGAGTCAAATTATGCACCATTTTGATTTGAACGATTCCGGAGTTCCATTTCTTATTCATTTTTTACTGAAATTAAAACGTTCCTCTGTTCAGTCAATATTTTCCCGTAGAATCAGAACACATTATGAAATCTAGCCAAAACATAAAAGGGCCAGAACTTGGCCAGAAGGGCTTTTGGCTCTCCCTACCCCCACCACGAACATTGCTCCGAGGGTGGAAAAAGAAAGAAAAGAATAACAAAGTTCCGGAAACAGTTCAAAAAACCACTATGTAAATCGATTTTGTACACCTCTGTGGCTTACCAACAAGTCCAGAATAATTATCTTTATCAAGAAAACTAGAAGATGTGCACGATTTGATCGATTTGATCTGTTAATCTATACTGTTTCCGGCGCCTTTTGATTCTTTTCTTTCTTCTTTCTCCGTCGGTGGTCCCTCCTCCCCCTCGCCCTCGCCCCAGCCCAGCCCAGCCCCGCACCCACTTGTTGTTGTTGTCGTTTGTGGTGACCAGGTTTGGAAAACTCGTGCTTTCGAGAACCTTTTGGAAACTTTCTGGATATTGAACGTTCACTTCAACTTGAATGAGTATCAGATAGTGTTTCGAAATTAGCGTGAGTGAAGTTGCCGCTGGATATCTCACTTAAATCGTCATTTTCGTAGTTACGTGATGTTTTTGTACTGGCACATTGCGTGTCTTGTTTGGGCGCTATAGGTTTACTTCTCAAGCGGCTCTCGTCAGTGTGGAGGCGTTTCTTGTAACAGTTTTTACCAGCTCTTGCTTATATTTACTTTGCTTCACAGTCACGTAAGTAAGATGTTATTTTATGTTATCTTGCTACTCATTGCTGCCCTTCATCCCATTTCATCCTAACCTATATCACCTGTCTTTCCTGTTTCAGATTTATTTTGGTACTCAGGGTAGATTTCATGAGCTGCTCTTTTTGGTTTGGAGGCGTCCCGTGCGACTCTGGTTCTACCGGTTCTTACTCATGTCTAATTCGCTTTGCTGACATTAAAGTGAGATGTAACTTTTAAATTACTTTGGTTAATTCGTACTTTGTCATTTTACCCTAACAATTTACCTTTTTTTCCTGTTTCAGATTGATTGAAAATGTCTAAGAGGCGTCTGTTTAGCTGTGCTCAGTGCCCCGACTTAGGCAAAAGGTTTAAGCTGGAAAATGACAAATCTGCAGAGAGCCTGAATGAACACTACCGCAACCAACACTGGGGAATTTCTTCATTTGTATGTAGTGTGTGCAATCTCCTCTTTGACCACAAAACCTCATTGATTAGACACATGGTTTCAAGTCATCAAGATGAACCCGAAGTCATGGATGCTAGTTTTTGTGCTGGACCTAGTGCATCAAGTGTATGTGATGATGATGAGATAGGCAACGATAATGAAGAGATGGGAAATGCATCGGCTAGTGACACTACAAGATCAATGGATACGGATGCGTGTAATAAACCGCCATCCAAGGGCTTGACTGAAGTTGCAGGGGAAATTGTTATGGAGCTCCGGTCCACTGCTCGTTTAACCAACGCAGCAATTCAGAGATTCCAAAAGGGGTATGACAAACTTGTTACAGCACACAATCAAATTCTATTTGAGAAGATGTCGGCTGCTCTCAAAGCTAAAGGAATGCTTGAAGATGATATTAATGAAGTGTGGACCAAAATCAACGTCCCAGAAGATCCATTCAAAGAATTAAAAACAGTTGAAAATCAGTTAAAATTTTATGAAAAAAAGTATGGTTTAGTGATTCCAAAAGAATACTTCCTGGACACAAGAGTTGATAATAGATTAAACCCCAAGATCAATGAGTTTGTCCCAACCCAAGTTACTGAGTCCTTTCAATATGTGCACATTATTGAAACAATGAAACTAATCTTGTCAAATAAGAGTAAACGTAATGCCATTTTTAAGGATCTACTCAGTAATGATGGTGTCCTGAGATCCTATGTTGATGGATCAGATTGCAAGGACCATCCATTTCTTCAGAGACACAGAAATGTATTACACATCATTCTTTTCTATGATGATTTGGAAATAGCTGCTCCTTTAGGTTCAAAGACTGTAATTCACAAGCTTGGTGTATTTTTTTTTCAAATTTTGAATGGATCTGCACATGCTAAGTCTAGGCTTTCCTCAATTCATCTACTGGCTCTTGCCTATAGTCAAGATCTCAAGAAGAAAGGGGCCTTTAAGAAAGTTTTATTCCACTTTGTAGAAGAAATGAAAAAACTTGGCTCTGAGGAGGGTGTGGAGATCACTCTAGATGGTGCTCCCTTCACTTTAAGAGCCATTCTTGTTGCTGTATGTGCTGACACACTTGCTGCCCACGAGCTTCTTGGTTTCCTCTCTTCTTCTGCTTTACATTTTTGCAGAATTTGTATGATAAACCGTGGAGATTTTAGAGAAAATGGCAATGAGGAAGCGCCTTTGAGAACGAAACATGAGCATGACAATCAAGTACGAGAAGTGAAAGAGGATTACAGTCTCTCAACACAGTATGGGGTTAAAGATGAGTGTTGTCTCAATGACTGTCCATTTTTTCATTGTGTCAATGGAAGTGTTTTTGACGCATTTCATGACCTACTTGAGGGAGTTGTCCCGGCAATTTTGAAATACGTACTGAGAAATTTTGTGAAAATCAGAAAGTTGTTCAATCTTAGGACTTTTAATAGCGACATTGCTGGATTTTCTTATGGTATACCAGATTCGAAAAATAAGCCTAAAGATAATTTTGTTATGAAAATGATAACCACTGGTAAACCACTGAGGCAAAGTGGGACCAACCTTTGGTGCTTAATGAGAGTGTTCCCATTTCTTGTTGGTCCTTACGTGCCTGAGGGTGATGAGCATATGGAGCTTATTTTCATTACCCAAGACATTATGAAAATTGTCTTTTCTTTTGAAATTTCTGAAGCTGATTTGGTTGAACTGGACAGTTTAATTTTTAAACTGCTTGATAATTTCAAGAGGCTGTTTGTGCGTGATCCAAATGAAGCAAACACTGCACCCACTCAAAATAGGGGGGATGAAGATGAGGAAGAAGATGTATTTTTGGATGATAGTGAAGAAAATGAAGAAAATGAAAATGAAGACCTCGGCGTCAACGAACCTGAGCCTGCAGAACAAGAGAAACCTTTAAATATACACCTCTTCAACAAGCTTCATCATCTCAAACATTATGTTTACCTTATGAAAAGATTTGGTCCCATTGTAAGGTTTTGGTGTGCCAAGTTTGAGGGAAGTTTAAAAATATTCAGGCAGTATGCAGCTATATGCTGCAATTTCAAGAATCCTCCCAAGACCATGGCTCAAATGTTTCAACTCAGCCATCTTTGGTCCATCATATCTACAGCTGAAGATGATGATGATACAATGATGGAGTTTGGTTCGACCACAGAAATGTCACTAGAGAATGTTGAACATCGAAACCTGCTTGAAGAGGCTGGCATTACTCAATTTTCTGTCACAAACATGGCCATGATCAATGGCGAAGAGTATCGCCCTGGCCTGTTCTTAGCTTTTAAAGAACCTCAGGCAAGGGTTCCAGAATTTGCCATCATAACAGATATTTATGTTGTTGACAAAAGAACAGCATACTTTGCACTCAAACCATGGAAAAGTACCCTGAGTGGCAAGTATAATGCATACAAAATATCTGCCGATGAAACTTCTGCTCCTTTCTTAAGAAATGTATTGTCCCTGGAAAACTTCAGACCCATCGCTTCTTGGAACCTTAAATCAGGGGATATGTATCTTGCCCCTCGAACCCAGATTCTCTAAGTGTTGCTCAACATTCCCCATACCAACTCAACACCCATGTTTTCATTGGTAAGCTTTTAAATACTTTTAATAGTAAAACCTTTCCTTTTTTAGTCTTTATCTATTTATTTATTTATCTGTTAATTTGTTTTTCTATTGTAATTAGAGACGTCACAAAATAATCTAAGGAATCAACTTGCAATAAAGGAGAGGAAGCATCTTTGATATCAGAACAACATGTTAATCAGCCTTCACATATTTGCTGATTGTAAGTAATTAATTTAGTACTTGTCCCTCTAGTCTGGTTATTCTCATTGTTTTTAATTTTTTGTTTTGGTTCCATCAGCTGTTTTAGAAGCAACATGTGAAGTTTCTAGTTGCCTTAAAGGAGTGGTTTTCTATTAAAGCTTGCCAAATTTAATATGAGAGGAACAACTGACTCGCCACGTTACAAATTATCAGCACCAATCTACTGCCAAGTATGCATGGAACATATTGTGCTATGGCATGACAGCACATGAATTGTTTTTTGAATATTTGTTCTTTGGTACCAATATATACATTTTCTTGGAGTCATCGGATGGCCAACATACCAGGTGGGGATCACCAAATATTCCTTATGCAGAATTGGGTTGACAGTTGATGTGTACCTCTAATATATTAATTTTCCTTCCTTCTGCAGGTGCAAGACATGTGATACTAAGTTATTGTCAGATGGAGACAGGAATGGAAGAGCCAGCCAATAGATACCTGGCTATAGTTTAATGTGATTAGCCAAAGCAAAATTGTGAGTGGTAGTTTTATTTTCTATCTTTTAAATCAAGTAGCATCGAACTTTGTTAATAAATTTGAATAATTTTTTCTTTATTTTGCATTACAGATACATTTCATACCAGTTTTATATAAATTTTAGAACTTACATTACTAAAAGGGTCTTACTAAAGCAATGAGGTTATTCTTAACTGCCTCCTTGAGCAGAAGACACGGTTGTATTTTCCCAGCCCTCTTTTCCCAGCAGTGGCGCGTCAAGTCAAACCTACCTATCTATTTAGGAGTCATCGGATGCCCAACATATCAGGTGGGAATCAGCGAATATCCCTTATACAGTATTGGGTTGACAGTTGATGTGTACCACTAATATATTAATTTTATTGTTGTTTCAGATTCT